TGATGATGATGATAATGATGATGATGATGATGATGATGACGAGTATGATGGTGATGATGCTGATAAAGGTGCTGCTACTGCTGCTGCTGCTGCTAATGATGATGCTGGCGATGAGGCTTATGATGCTGATGATGACGCTGATGATGATACTGCTGACACTGATGATGCTGATGATCACGCTTATGATGCTGATACTGATGCTTCTGAAGCTTATGTGATGCTGGTGCTGCTGAGGCTGATTCTGCTGACACTGATGCTGATGTTGCTAAAGCTGTTGCTGATGCTGATGCTGATGTTGATGATGCTGATGATGCTGATAATGCTGATGATTCTGATGCTGATGATGCTGATTATGCTGATAATGCTGATGATGCTGATGATGCCAATGATGTTGATGATTCTGATGATGCTGACGCTGATGCTGATGCTGCTGATGCTGATACTGATGCTGATGCTGCTGATGCTGCTGATGCTGCTGATTCTGCTGCTGTTGATGATGATGACGATGATAATGATGCTGATTATGATGATGAGGATGATTATAATAATGATTTATGATAATGATGATGATGATGATGACGCTTATGATGCTGATGATGCTGATGATGATGATGGTGATGATGATGATGCTGACGCTGATGATGCTGACGATGAGGTTTATGATGCTGCTGATTACGTTGATGACGCTGATGCTGACACTGATGATGCTGATGCTGATGCTGATGCTGATGCTGATGCTGATGCTGCTGAAGATGATGCTGCTGACGCTGATGATGCTGATGATGACACTTATGATGATGATGATTACGGAAATGATGTTGATGATGACGTTGATGATGATGATGATGAGATTGACGATGCTGATGCTGATGATGATGATGCTGATAATGATGATGATGCTGTTGATTCTTATGCTGATGATGCTGATGCTGATGCTGATGTTGGTGATTCTGATGCTGATGTTTCTGCTGACGATGCTGTTTATGCGGATGCTGGTGACGCTGATGACGCTAATAATGCATCTGACGCTGATGATGCTGATGATAACAAATATGATGCTTATACTGCTGACGCTGTTGATGATGATAATGAAGTTGCTGATGCTGATGATGCTGATGTTAATGCTGCTGATGCTGTTGTTGCTGATGCCGATGCTGCTGCTGATGATGCTGATAATGCTGAGGATGCTGTTGAATCCTTTGCCGATGATGCTGATGCTGATGATGCTACTGATGCTGCTGATGCTGATGATGCTAATGCTAAAGCTGAAGCTGATGCTGATGCTGCTAATGCTGATACTGATTC